ATTATTATCGGACTCTGCGACATATAAATATGCCGTTAAGCTCACTTTCGAGTTCGTTATTTTCCAGACCACTCTTGATGGGCGGAGCTACCTTGACCGCTTCTGCCTTCTAAAGCGATTATTTCGCTGCGGAATTCACATTTTGCAGCGGTACCTGAGAGATTACTTAGTTGGGGCTTTGCTTTCATGCACCACAGATTACTTGTGCTTGAACCTTGTGTTTCTGTATTTTGATTCTTTTACAATCCGATTTTTCAGCACATCGTCTGACTGAAAATCCCGATAATCGAGTGCTACTTGTCGAAGCTGGCCCACAAGATTACTGGTGGGATTGGCGAATTCACATGCCTGCTGCTCTGATGTACAATCTCTGTCACGATCGATATAATTGGTTTTATCACACGGTGGCACAGAAGAACTTGCAAAATCGAGTGTTCTACTGGCCAAGAGGCAGGTCGGCTTGTATCTGATGATCTCTACTGAGGTCAACCCGTCATGGAAATTCTTGATTTTTTGTCAAGCCCACCAAGAGCCGAATGCTATTCCCCCTCTGAATTGTTGATTTTAGAGTTTGGGGTGGAAGTTCCACGTTAAATGCCATGGTTTGGATACGTGGGCATCCTTTTGATTATGATAGATGGGAAAAAGAAGATGGCGCTAAGGGATGGAACTTTGCGAATTGCTTACCTTACTTCAAAAGATGCGAGACTTACTCTCATTCCAAGGTGATTTTCACCTTACAATACCGTTTCTCACCACAGATATGCTATGTTTTAGGGACCAAATGACCCATATAGGGGACATGATGGCCCTCAAAAAGTGATGCGTGGCATGGGCAACCATCCTTTGCACCAAGCATTCCTTGAATGTGGCAAGACCCATCATATCGGGACCACAGAGGATGTAAATGGATACAAACAAGAAGGATTGGGATATTTCGATCAGTCTATCCATAAAGGAGTGAGGTCAGTAGCCGTAGTCATCTTTTTGTCAAGTTTTGTTTTGTTTTTCATTTTTTCACTTCAAAATATACGCAAGCTTTTCTATCGCTTCATCTTCTTACAACTATTCTTGTCTACTGCCATTGGTCTGAATTTGATGGTTCTTCTAGACAAAGTACATCGAAAGCCTACATACAACCTATCCTTGGTCGACCAAACTTCTACACCTCTAC